AACATTTCTATATAATTAGTGTTCCTCTAGAGTCTAGATAGTAGATATATATTTATATAAATGTAGGATACAAGAATTAAATGTCAGTTCTTCAAAATTATAAATTCTATATACATTTCTTGAAATACAACCGAACATATACAGCTTTGAAGTTATGCTTTCAAAGAAAACGTAAACAGCGTGAATTAGTAAAGATAAAATCTGAATTTTGTTATGTCAAATGTTAAGATAAAGTTATGACATGCATCATCTGCGATTGGTGACAAGAGTTTGTATGTATAACAAAAATAAAGGAATTGAGTCTTTTCCACAAAATCAGATTTTTTAATTCCTAAATCTTTGCAACCTTATGTCAAAGGTTAACACCATCACATTGCAAAACTATAGGGGTTCGAAAATTTGAGTTTGTGGCGAGGACTCAATTCCTTTGAAAAAAAATTTAATCTTTAATTCATGTTTCATATTACATAAATGAATAAATTATTCCTATTTCTGTATATATTTGAATGAATGAATTATTCTTGTTTTCATATTTAAATGTAAAAATGAATTATTCTTATTATTATATTTATATAAATAATATGAATAAATGAATTATTCTTATTTTTATATTTATATGAAAGAATGAACTGGCCCCCGACCCATCTTGCTTCTGTATACACATTATATACAATATACAATTAATACTGAGCTGTCAATATGAAAACTAATGAGTTTTTTACACTGTGTACATATTTTGTTTTTACAATATATACCATTTTAGTTATACATTATATACTATATATATACACCATGTATGTATATGCACACTGTGTATATACATTTTTTACAATATGTACACTGTGCACATGCACCTTTACAATATATACCATTTTAGTACATTATATATATATACTCTATATATACACACTCTATATTTATTTGATGTACAGGCCTGAATACTAATTGAAGTGCCCGGCGTTGCCCGTAGAAATTTTAAAAAATTGAATTTTAAAAAATCGATTTTTGAAATAAAAATTTATATTCTATGTTTTTTTCTCAGGGTACTCAAGGCCGGTTCCCTCAATCAATTACAGCCAATTTTAACCGTTTGGCCAGCGAAAGCTAACATGTATATATTTATTTTGGACAAGGATTGAATAAAAGTTTTGAAACTCACTTTTTCAAGTTATCTTTTTTATTTAAATTTTTATGAAAGTATTGTGTATTTTATCATTCTTACTTACTTCATCGTGAATTTCATAATCGACGTGCCATAAAGTAATCATCGTGCTATAAATTTAAATTAGCTGTACATTATAGCACGTGTGCTACATAGTTGTGATTGGGTCCTGAGTTTTCTCCAAAAAATTTAGGATATTTCCAAAATGATCTTTTTCAATTGGAATGAAAATAAAATTGAAATCAACTTTATTTGTTATTGATTCTGATTTGTTTCAAAGCTTATTTGCCATTAAATCAGCCAAAAAATTACCTATAACGCAACGTGCTTTAAAGTTTTTGGACTTAATCTAAAAAGGCTTGAACCTTCTCGATAAAGAGAATATTTCTGTCCAAAAGCTTATAACACTACGAACCAAAATAACAGTGTTATAAATAGTTATTAATTTCAAATCGATTTTGTTAATTTATTTTGTAATGGATGTTAATATTTAATACAATGATAATTTTTGGTTTCCTTCTTTAGATTTCCTAAAAACCAAAGTTCAAAAAGGTAAAATCAATAAGTAAAAAATTCTAAATATTTGAAAGTAATTAATAATTTCTTGGAAAAAAGAGGAAGAAGAAAACATCATCTAAATCAAGCCATTCCAACTAAAAAAAACTAAAAAACTAAACAAGAGCTTAAAAATCTGCCTACGTGATAGGAATTATATCTTGAATCAGGACTTTCTTTAAAAAAATCCGAAATTTAAAGTTTGTTCACGTGTTCAGGTTCACCCCTGCCTCGGAGACATAAATGCTTTATAGATAATCTGTTGTAGATGGAAGCAAAGCCAGATTTAAACCATACGTTGAACCACGCGGATAAACCATTCAACCATCCAACATCCAACCATTCAACCATTCGACCATCCGCTCAGTAATTTTAATTAACGTAAAGGGAGTGACCGGCTACGTAAGGTAGTTGAACTGAGTATGCAGTGTTGTGGAAGACTTCTTTCGGATTCATTTGAGACATATTTAAACTTTTTAAAGATCTGTAAATCCTGAATTTGAGCGCAAATTCGACGTTCAAAACTCCCACTTTCGGGGTGGATACGTTTTCAGAATTAGTTTTTTTAAATTATTAAATAACGACGACATAAAATGTAAAAAGCTCTACAATAAACTACATACGTCATGTATAGGAACATGTAGAGAACATCAGAATTAATCTTATCATCGTATATAAGTATAATCTTTTTCAATTATTAGTTTCTATTTTCTCATTATTCACAAAGATTTTCTGCAGATTTTCTAGAATTTTATTGAAAAGACGACATTCTAAGAATTTGAAGAAATATGCGAATAAATTAAAAGAAGATTCAATATAATCATGAAAACGAAATAATCGATTTTAGCAATGATTTTTTGACAAACGTCTTTTGAGAAATATGTTCCTAACCATCTAATTAGATTACTGTATAATTTTTACTTTACTTTTCGTTGTCGTTATTTAATAATTTAAAAAAAGTAATTCTGAAAACGTATCCACCCCAAAGTAGGCGTTTTGAACGTCGAATTTGCGCTCAAACTCAGGATTTACAGATCTTGAAAAAGTTTAATATGTCTCAAATGAATCCGAGAGAAGTTTTCCACAACACTGCATACTCAGTTCAACTATAACCTTACATAGCCGGTCACTCCCTTTAAATGAAGAAACTGTCGTTTTAATTTTAGTTGACACTTCAAGAGGGCCATGTCTAATTTACAACGGTACCAATGAAACCCAATCTGATTAAGTGTTTAATTATGAATTGTTACTGAACAAAAGATGCGTAAGTTCCTTTATCAAAGAAACAAAAATAAAATTAATCAGTTTGTTGAAGAAAAAAATTAAATATCTAATTCAGAAAATAATCTGAAATTGGACATTTTCAATAAAAGATAACTTTCAAGTCCCTTTGTATATAACTGTTATTCCTTTAAAAAAGTGGAGGATTAGAAATAAAAAGGTGTTAAAGGATTAATCTTCATATTAAGACGAAATAGCTGAGAATAACAATAGCAAAGGAAATGAAGAAAACAAGTGAATAAACTGGCGGAAAGAGAAGAAGTTGTCACTTTTCAATAACGTGGAAGATATTGTTGTTTTTCTAGGTTAAAAAGTTTTATCAAGAATGCATGACATATCCATAATTTTTTTGTTGAAAATTCATTATTTTATTTATGGTTTCTGTTCAAAGTTATCTGCGGGTTTCTTCTTTTGGAAAAAATGGAGAAAATTAAATAATTAAACACTTTTTAAGCTAAAAAACTGACGATTCATTGAACAAAAAAAACGCTTAAAAGCTACTTGAAATTATCTTGAAATTATCTTGAAATTATCACAAACGTTCTTTTTCGATCTGTGATGTGCTGTAATCACAGCAATACAATTTATGCACCAAGTAATAAGACCGGGTCAAAACCACGCACTTTTTTCTAACTTTTGTTTTAAAGGATTAATCGGTAAAATGGGGATAAACTTGCGCACTTTGAATGAACGTGGACAACGTATTTCTTCATGGTTGGCTGAAGTATAAATAGTCTTCTGTATCTAGAATATATATTATATATATAGTTTATAGAATATAGATCTAACAGGAACTAATCATATTGTATAACCAGTATAACACTGGGATTTGCCAACTGACAATATTTACAATTCAATCAATAATTGATAAAATCAAAATTTTAAACATATCGCTAAAAATCTTAGAATTCGAATAAGAATTTGACGAATCTAGATTTTAACCGTATCTTTCTTGTCTTGGTTTTCATTTGTTTTAAATGTTAAATAAAATCATCTGTTTTCATCTTTTATGTACAAACATTTTTCAGAGACATGTTTGCTTGAAATGATCAAATTGTGGATTCTTGGATTTTTGGTTGGAACAGGATATGCAGGTCCAATATTGTTATTCTTTTCTTCTTCTTCTTCTTTTTCTTCATCTTTTTCTTCTTCTTTTTCTTCTTTTTCTTTTTCTTCTTTTTTTCTTCTTCTTCTTCTTCTTCTTCTTCTTCTTCTTCTTCTTCTTCTTCTTCTTCTTCTTCTTCTTACTCCTATTTCAATTGAACATTTTCTCTTTGTATAAATTGTAAAGCAAAATTTTATGAAAAAAAATCGTGGATTTACAAAGTTTGGGCACGATCGGTTCAACCGTTTTGACGTTTATAAGATACAAACACCAAGACAAGCAAAGTATATACATAGAACATTTTATATATGCGGTAATATATATTTATTGTTTAGAGGTTGGTAGGCTAGATGTAACTTATAACCTGGGAAAGGGTAACTATGCTTCCTTCAGAATACCGACCCAACATAAACCCTTAAGTCCAACAGATCAATCACCGCTGTTACATGATTTTCAATCACAGTATGGACAAGATAGAGTTCACAATGTTCAGCCTGTACGTGCAGAAGAACGTAATAATGTTCAACATATAGAACATGGGCCAAATTTACAACATGGACCACATTTAGAACATGGGCTTCAGAAAATAAATGGTGCAAAACTGGTTCCGTTTATTGGTCCACATACATTTCATGGTTCACAACAAGCTCATGATTTAGACGAAATTCATAGTCAACATTTAGCTCATGGTACAGAGCAAGCTATACATAATACTCATCTTGGTCCATTGCAAGCTCATGGTTCGCAGATAAACCATGGTCCGGAGCAGAATCATGATCCACATCAGGTTCATGGTCAACAACTAGATCATGAGCAACAACTAGCTCATGGTCAAGAACTAAATCATGAGCAACAACTAGCTCATGGTCATCATCTAGCTCATGATCAACAACTAGCTCATGATCAAGAATTAGCTTATGGTGAACAGTTGGCTCATGATCAACAACTAGCTCATGGTCAACAACTAGGTCATGAGCAACAGCTAGCTCATGATCAACAACTAGCTAATGATCAACAACTAGCTCATGGTGAACAGTTGGCTAATGATCAACAACTAGCTCTTGGTCAACAATTCGCTCATAGACAACAGCTTGCTCATGGCCAACAACTAGATCTTAGCCAACCAGATGCTCATGATCAACACCAAGCACATGTTCTACATCAAGTAAATAACCCTCAGCAAGCACCAGGTTTACAGCATCTGCAATCTGGGGTTCTTGAACAAGAAGAGAGCATAGTGCAGGATCAAAATATACAAAATTTAGATCCACACTCATTTAATCTGGGACATCAGCTCTTGAATGGAGTTGGAATTTTTCCGATCCAATCTGAATCTGATCTTCAACGAGCTTTTAATTTTCAACTGTCACATGGTATTCAAGTAGGGCATGGGCTTCAATCTGCAAAGGAACTTGCACAACCTGGACATAATGTTCATGACCTTAACCATAGGTTTCAGCCTGTTCATGGGGTTCATGAAAACCATGGAATTCAGTCTATAACTTCTCAGCATACTTCGGTTAATACAGGTATATCCAAAAAATATTTGCAAATATTTAAAATAGATGACTTAATTGAGTAAATTCAGTTTGTGTTTGTTTTAAGGAATACCCATTGATAAACCAAGCTTTTTTCCCCAGCATGCTTTACCTGCTATTTCTGCAGGAGCCGTGAACACATTACATCCAGCTGATGCTGGTGTAGCTAGTGGCAAACCAGGATTAGTTCATCCAGCACCCTTTACTACCCCTGTTATTCTACATGGATATACAAGATCAACCCATCACATTAAACCATTTGTAAACCTTGGATCTGCATACCACCATGCTCCTCAAGTGAAACCTCAACATGATGGGCACATTCTACAACATGGTATATCTCCTGTTCATCAAGAACATGTTCAGCATGGTCATTCATTAGAGCATCATGTACATGAATTAGGAGATCAAGTTCATAATTTAGGGAATCTAGAACAACATCATTTACAACAAGACCTCCTTCCCGTTGTTCACTCTCATCCACATCATAAACCTTTTTTTCAAGTTCATCACAAAGAACATGTTCTAAGTTCAGTAGACCAAGCTCTTTCTCCGATTCATCATCAAGTACATCAAGAACAGTTTCCTTCACATCAACCAGCAAATCATGCTATCCTTGGGAATCACCTTCATGAAAGTCGATATCCAGATCATTTTACAAATCCAGTTCAGCAAGCGCAACTGCCAGTTCATCAAGATACGCATCCAGTTCATCCGAATCAATTCATGATACATCAAGGTCATCATGCTGTTCATCCGAATCAAATTCCAGTACATCAAAGTCATCATGCAGTTCATCAAGCACAATTTTCCGTGCATCAAGATCAGCATCCAGTTCATCAAGCACGATTTCCAGTAGCTCAAAATCAGCATCCTGTGCATCCAAACCAATTCCCAGTTCATCAAGATCAGCATCCTGTTCATCAAGCACAACTCCCAGTGCATCCAAATCAGCATCCTATTCATCAATCACAATTTCCAGTACATCCAAATCAGCATCCAGTTCCTCAATCACAATTTCCAGTACATAAAAATCAGCATCCAGTTCATCAAGCACAATTTCCAGTACATCAAGATCAACATACTGTATATAACAACCAGCACATTCCACATGAACATCCTCAAACTGTTCCACTTGGACCTGTTCTTCGACCGTCAAATGCATACAATCAAGGTCATTATTTATCATATTAAATTATTTTAAGTAATCTTTGATAAGAATTTATTTTCAAATATACAATGCTAAACCTCCATATTAAAATACTTTACCATTATTATGATTTCAGGTATTCAATTAGATGACCTGCCCAGCTATGATGATATTTATGCTGACCCTGATTTCCAGCCAGTTCACTCTGCCACTACACCTCATCCCCCCCTAACCCCTGTAACACCTGCTTACGACCCCTTCACATTTGGAAAGGATAAATTGCCTGAACCTGTTGAAGGAGTAGATCAAGGCTTTGATCCAGGTTTAGTTGGTGTAGTAGAGAATGCTCTTGTTCCTGATCTTGAAGTTTCTCTAGATCCAAGCTCAAACCTTCAATTAGGTTAGTTACAACTAATTTTAATGAAGATTCACTTAATAAACAAACACAACTAAAAATCATAATTAACATATAAAAAGGACTATGAGCGTTATTTTGAGTGACCAACAACAGCGCCTTAAAAGCTTTGTCTGATTAAGTATGTGTTATAGTTTCTTTAAACTGTATATTTTCATTGCGGATTTTCTACGAAAGTGACTCGCGCATTCCTTGCTCAAGTTAATCAATGGAGAAAATTCACAATAAATAATTTTCGAGTCAGAAAAAACAATAGCTTCTTCAACATTTTTGATTAAATTAAGGTTTTAAGGGTTTTGTTGTAAATCAGGCTTAACAACCGATTTAAATTTTAATCTCCGATTCACACTTGCAGATTCATCAGGATTTGAATCGGTTGAATGAATTTGTAAGTACTGATTATGAAGCATAAAGTTGGAGCTGTAAAACTGTTGAAGACTAAGATGACAATTATGCAACTTGTTACTAACAGTCGTCTTTTTCCATAATTATATGGGTTCGAATATAGTGTAATACCTGAATACAGGGTTGAAAGATCAATACTATTTTAACTTTACTAATTTTTTTAAAAATCATCTTTAAAAGTGTCAAATTACCTTTAATGATTAAACTAGTTATTTACTCATTAATAAATAATTTTCAATTCAATCTTTTGATTTAGAAATGTTGCCAAGCATTTTGAAATTTATAACCGTTTAACTGGAAAAAGCATATTCAGATATATATCAATGATAACAGAGGCCGAATTTAAAGAATTTGAGCCGCGACTCAAATATGGTTTGTTCCACTTAAAATTGTATTCAATGTTCCAAGATTTAAGCCGGCGTTCAATTGAAACCGGTTTTTGGCGGATTTAAGACGTGGCTCAAAATTATTAAATTCGGACTCAGAGTTACGAATAAGGTTGAACAAAATCATATTTCATTTTGCTCTATTCTGGTTATCTCTGTATCTAAATTAAATTAAAACTAAAACTGTTAACCAGGATTTGGACCACAATCATCAAATGGACCATCATCTTCATTAAAAAACCCCGGACCATTCCCATCAACAGGTCCATTCAAGGACCCCAGACCTTTCTTCCCAATCCGACAAACACCTGAATCTTTTCTAGAATACGATTATACTCTAGGTAGGAAGTCAAACTAGGCCAAGACACCACCAAAACTAACCATTAATTCCTGACCATATAATTAATTGTTTTATCATCATTGAACACAATCATATAATTTGGAAAATATTTTATTGATGTTTTTAAAATAATAAGTATCGTTGGACGGATGAATGCGTTAATAAAAGATTTAAGATAAAGGATTTGCTCTGTCACTTCAACGCCATTATTATAATTAATTTTATTTTGTAAAAGTTCTTTTAAAATTAAAATATGTTAAATTTTAAAGTCTTAAATGGTCCTGGTCCATGCTTTAATAAAATTCTTCACAACAATCTATCTATCCTGTTAGATTTTGAATGTTATGTCCAAAATTTGGACATAAAAAAAATAATTTCTTGGACCTTGGTTTTTAAAATCTCAACTCTCTCAGAGTCCAAAACTAAAGAACGAAAAATTCCACCTTAACTGTAGTAAAGCGGTGCTGGCGTAAATATATAACTCATAGTCCGAGATTAAATTTCATTATCTTTACAGATATTTAAGCTTTAACTTAAAACTCGTGGATTCTTTAATTTTGGACTCTGGAACACTTGAGGGGACAATCTAACCCAAGGTTGTATAATAAGGTTAGATACTCTAGATGCGCTCCAATATAGGTAAAGACGATCTTTATAGCAATGGACACTCTACATCCTCATATGACGTCACTGCTTATTTTAAAGAATAATAAATTTTGCGACTCACTAAATATCAACGAATTCACAAATTGAAAACTTGAATTTATAGAATTGCATTTTTTAGCTTTAAACTTGCAAGCACATCAATATTTGTTATTTGTGATAATTAATAGTTAAGTATCAGTGACGTCATATGAGGATTTAGAGTCACCATTGCCATAAAGACGACATTTATCTACATTGGAGCTCATCTAGAGCATCTTACCTTATATACAACCTTGATCTAACCTGATATGAAAACTGGTGTCTAGATGATTTCCCTGAATACGATGCTGTTCCTTCTGATCTGGAGAACCTTGTTCCAGCTTTCATTCCAGTAGCTAGAGATCAGAATAGGAGAGTATACTTTGATCCTTGATCTTTAATCCTTGATCTTTGATCCTTGATCTTTGATCCTTGATCTTTGATCCTTGATCTTTGATCCTTGATCTAATTTCCTTAATTTTTTTGATAATTTGTATTTTTCAACGATTTAAAGATAAAAATTACGTCATGCGATATTCTAAACAATTTTTTTTTATATAGGCGAGGAAAGAAAATAAATAATGCAATCTTAAGGAGGTAAGTTTGGTCTGAAATATTTTATTTTTAGTATTTTTTATAATAGCTGAATATCTTAGACATATTTTGTGATAAGCAACCGTGCAATTAAATACAAAACTGTAAAAATCCTTAAGCTTATAAACTTTATTAGTACTAAGGTTTAGAAATTGTTATTAAGTTCAAAAGATGTATTCAAGTTTAAAAGTTGTATTCAAGTTTAAAAGTTGTACTGAAATCATAGAGAATAGAATATATATATAGAGAGGAATTAACTAGAAAAAAGTGTAAAACGGCCATTTTGTTGTACTGTTTCCATACTGCAGGTGTACTTCACATATTTGTGCTATATAACCTTTTGGGCCCTGAAACATCATTTTATACAAAAATTTTCTTGAAAATTATTTGATTTTCTGTAAGTCAATTCTCTGATAGCCTGTCATGCACACGTGGATAAAAATCAATCTAAAATTTTTTTTTTCATTAAAAACATATTCCTATAAGTGTAGCCTGCAGGTAATCAAAGAGGGAAAGCCAATATTTTAGAAATATTCAAGATATCAACATATGGTTCAACTTTTTTTCCACCAAAATTGAGGATGGAGATAAACTTAATATTTTAAATTCATTTTACACAGTTGGACCCATAAAACTCCGGAAGAGAAGGTCAAAATTTAAATATGTTTCATGTTTGATGGGTTAGTTAAACTTGTAGCTTGAGTCTAAACACAGTTAAACAAACTGTTTTACTTTGTGTACCCATAAAGATCAACACCTATTTAATTTACAAGATTCTGGTGCTCCCTAAAATGTGTAACTGTAGAGTTTGGAGGAAATTTTAGAGACAACTGACAGTACAGAATTAGTTTAGTCTTTCTCTTTACATTAATCTCCGTATGCTCGTTATTCCAAATCACCGAATGAATCATTATAGCAGGTAACATATTTAGGCCTAAATCAGATTATCAAAATTTTTGCAAATGTTATGATGAAAAAGTTTCAGGTCTTCATTAAAGTATCATCCTTTTGTGGGTAACCCTGTAATGTAGAATAATTGCATATTAAAAAACAAGTAGAAAACAAAACTTTATTAACTTTAATTTAACATTTTATTTTACAGAAAACACTTCACTGGTTATTTTGTAAAATAAGTTTCGACAGCTTTGAACGTAATCTGTTTTTTTTTAGATTTTCATTTAGTAATTTTGCATGATGTTTCATACGAATACACGTATAACAGGATATCACCTGCTTCGTGAGTTCATATGCATGATTGTCCATTGTCTTAAAGCAATTTCCATGGACACTAACAAAATTGGTGATTATTTTTAAAATAAGATAGTCAACATAATACTTTTTGGTCAGCCAATTTTTTTCTTTCAGTTCAATTTCAATAATTTTTTCTGAAGTTTCAGTTATTTTTAACACAAATGGGCTTGGATATGTAAGAAAATTTCCAAAATCTCTGGTTTTTGTAAAAGTAATTGATTCAGGCTGGTTGAATTTAATGAAAGAAACACAAAGATTACAAATTAGTTTCCGTAATATTTGTTTAACCACGAATCCTGATACATACTCACTCGACTACATTTGCTTTATATTCTGTAAAGGTTACATTTTTTATATCATCAACAGTAACATCATCAAAATTATAAATATCGCAAATATAATTAATTTTATCTTGGACAGATGGAACGAGGGCTACAATTTCAGAATTATTTTGAATTAATGTATTTGCATTGTGGACAATGTTATTTGTAATCCCTAAAAGTAGTCTTCTATATGTATTTTTAAATTGCAATGGGGTTGGATTATTGTTTGCCCCAAAACGAGCTCTTATGAGACCAAAAAAATGTTCCAGGTGATCTTGTGATAATTTGTATGTTAACAAATAAGATAAGGAACCATTTACAACAGTTTCATTAAATATTTCTGTAACCGCTTCAATATTACAAATAATTCCAAGAAACCCAGCTTTACGGGAATTGTACTTCACTATATTTTTACCATCAATGCTTTGGAGCCCAGAAATAAAGTTGTTGGTTCTTTCGAACACAGGGCTCCACATGTCTACATTAAGAGCACTTACAGGAGACAGATGCCCGTTATAAGTAGGATATCTACTGTTCAGGAGGTCAAAAATATTGTTCATGAAGTAGCAAAACTCTTCAGTTGCTTCAGAGCCGGCAAACTGAGGAAGTTTTAAAACTTCTCTGCAAAATTTAAAACTTCTTCCTACTCTTTGTGAAAGTACTTGCACAGCTAAATTAACTTTCATTATCTGATTTTTGAAAAAAATATGTTTGTATGTCAACTTGTTACTGTTCTTTACTTTGTAAGTTCACAAGTTCTTCAATGTATTTCCAATCAATGTTATCACCGTTAGCATTCTTAATAACTTTTAGGTGAGCCCAAACATTACGAACATTTTTGATGCAATGACACATATCATGGACAAAATGGATTGGACTTTCTTGCATATCTTCACAAATTTTAGTCTTTACAGTTTCTGGATCCAAGTCTGCTCCTAGTTTTTTCATCATAGAAAGTTGAACCTGTGGTGCATCGCAAACCACACTGACGATAGAAACTCCAATTTCGACCAGCTTTTGGACTGCCAATTGTACAAGATTTGCTCGCTCTGTAAATTAAGATATATTTAGAAAGTACACTTTGAACTCCCTTTCAGGCTGAAAGGGACTGAAAAAATTCATACCGAGAGATTCTTTTAATTCCTCTCTATATATTATTCTATTCTCTATGACTGAAATACAAACGCTTTACTTTAGTTCAAAAGCTGTGTACTTTGTTTCAAAAGCTGGGTACTTTGTTTCAAAAGCTGGGTACTTTGGTTCGAAAGCTTGGTACTTTGTTTCAAAAGCTGGGTACTTTGTTTCAAAATCTGGGTACTTTGTTTCAAAAGCTGTGTACTCTGTTTCAAAAGCTGGATTTGAGCTCAAAATCTTTGAAAAGTTGTAAAGCTGTATACTTAAGTTCAAAAGTTGTACTGAAGTTTAAAATCTGCACTTAAGTTTAAAAGCTGTGCTTAAGTTCAATATCCATGTATTAAGTTAAAAAGCTGTATACTTTATTTCAAAAGCTGTACTTCAGTTCAAAGTACTAAGTTCGAGATTTGAATTCCATTCTCTTGAGCTCTATCTATATCTACCTATTCAAGTTTTATTTAGTTTATAATTTAGGGAGAAGAAACGCAGAGAAAAAAATTCTTCCCGAGTCTCGAGCTCTTTAAAACTGTAAAGAGGAGAAACATAGAACTCGAGAAATTCTTACAGCATATTTCAGGTAATAATGATTTGCAATTATACGTCCTTATTTTATAACTTTTAAGGGTTTGCCTCTTTTGACGGGCTCTACACAATTTTTATAATTGTTTATTGCAAAAGTTAATTTTCCAACAATAAACGTTTTTTCTTTATATTTCAACAAATTAAATTAAAAACAAACTCTTACAAAATACAGTTTTGAAATGTTTCCCTATTTGACTTTGACATACACAAGGGTCTCAAATGAAAACTTTTGACTATGAACAACTTTGAAGAAATCATTTTTTGTCTCAGTTTACAAATTATAAACCTTCTAATGCTGCATTAAGGCCAGAAATTGGGCAATTGTACTACGGTAGTAGGCGATAATATCAATATAATGAAGACGGCTTTCAATCTTTATTTATATCAAGCTTTTAAACAACATGAATACACAAAATATAAAAACAAAGATGTCAATTAATAAGCTTCTCTTTAATTACTTGTAATTCAAAAAAAGTTTGTGTTAACAGTAATAACTTTAATAAGAAAGTCATCTTCACTATATTGATGTAATCGCCTACCACTACATTTTAGTCAGATTGAACATATGAACATATTTAGGTAACTAAGAATGCTGTCTGTTAGTCTGAAGCTGTTGGATGTGTATTCCTTCATTATCCAACCTTGCTCCTATTAAATTTTTTTATTTGCATTTTGCATTTTTAATAGATATAATTGATAACATTATTACATATAGTCCGTATAGTCCGTATTACGTCACAATAACTTCAGCCAATGGCAGTGCAGTATACTGGTCACGTGATTTTCGTCTTGATTTCTCTGGAATATCGTCGTTTTCTGATTGGTTGCGTATTTGTTAAACATGATCTGTTTAATACTACAACTTTTATACAAAATTTGTATATATATATATATATATGAATTTTCGTATAAATTTGGCACAGTTTTATATTAATTTCTTGAGACAGGAACATCAGATAGATGTCTTATATGTACCGTTTAACGCCTGAGATTCTCAGGTTTCATCCTGAACCCCCTTTCATTTTTCCTTTATAGTCCCTTTGACAAGAAATAGTAAATTTCAAGAGCTCTCGGAAAAATTGATATTGTTTATTAAGGTAGCTTACTATCGATGCTCTCCAGTTTTCGGAAAATGTGAGAATGCAGAATCCAGAATTTTAACCGCTGCTAACTGTACTCTACTCTACTTAACTACAAAATATTTGAGTAAAGCTGAGTCTACGAAGATTAAATTGCATGCTCTGGATTGTAGACATGAATACTTTAGCATACACTGCTGTTGTATTGGATTCCAATATACATTATAATGTAAACAACATATAATCAACGTACAGAAAACAAAACAAAAACAGAACATCTCCATTGAAAAGTGTTGAATTCTGATATATTTCTGCATTGTCCCTTCTTTTCAAATCCACAATTCCCTTATTTAGAGGAGTCACAATTAAACACTATAACTTTTCTAATTTCTCATTTTTTCTTGAGCAAAACTTAAATAGCAAAGGCAAACTAGACAAATTCAAGTTGAATAAAAAGATGACCGGTAATAATTTGTAATTAAAAATAAAAAACTAATAGTATGTTTATTGTTTAGTAAACTCAAATAGCTCAATATCTTAATACCAATTGAAGGGACATTATAGCTAATCTATAGGACAGAGCGATTATTTTGTATTAATCTCAACAGCTTTAGCAGCGTTGAATAATGTATCATTTACTCTCAGAGCGCCCCCGGGTTTATCAATTATCATTGAATCACTCGGGGATTTCAATTTCCATTGATTCTAATTTGTCCGAGAGTAAATGACATTCCTTTGTAAAAAATAACAAATTATTTTTTTTATCCTTTATTATTATTTTCAAAAGGGGCGGGATTAAATATAAATCGTTGCATACCAAAACACCAGCTTTTTATAAAGGAATGTTTTTTAAACATTATTATTAATTAATATATTTATGAATTATTATTAATATTTTAAACTTGCTTGTAAATTGTAATGACTAGTCATATATTTTAATATTTATTTTGCATATTTTTAATTTATGAATAAATTATCTTATACATATATTCTAGAATTCAATTGTTATCTCCTTTTTAATTTTAAGAGAAAAATATTATTTTTCAAAACCAATAAATTCGCAAAGATCATTATTTGTCTGATAATGTATAGGGTGTTAAAAAGTAATGCATCATTCAAAAAATTGTTCTAGATGCGTCAACAAATCGTTAATTTTAAATTTATTTCATTACATAATGATTCTGACTATTATAGACATCTTTTTTCCGATTTGATTGAGGTTCGTAGAGCTAGGAGGCCTGTCCATTCATTATACACTGGTTTACATTAAAACCGGTTTAGTATAGGGGAAGATTGAAAAATAATTCATTAATTATTTGTTCATCGCATTTTTTTCACCAATTTAGAGCCAAAACAGTCTCATGCATTACTTTCCTTACATCCTATACATTAGAACCTCAAGTATTGATCTGCATCTTGTGTAGAATTGCAAATTAATTTGTTATAATGTACTGTTGTTGACTTTAAAAGTCACTATAATAAAACAAAGAGATCTAAAATGGATATTTCTAACATTTATTTAAAAAACGAAAGTTTTGAAATATTTGCATAAGGCTGAGTAAAATTGGTTGGTTAAAAATGAACAAAGAAAACTATTGACGAACATCAGTTGGAACATATTTGTGGAGCTTCATGTTGGTGGTGCAGATCTTCAATCACAGCAGGTTTGCTCACAACCAGGTTTCAGGCTATGGGAGAGATATCGCAGTTTTATCGTGTGCATTGAGCGATTATGTTGTCTCTGTGATGCATGATAATGTTGATCTCTGGAGCATTGTGGGGCTAGATGTAAGCAGAGTCTGCATCTATCTCGGTATCTGAATCACCATCATGAAGGAGTCAGGGTTGAGACGGAGTTGTGATTGTCTTGAGTGTTTCAGGCTGACTGCCAGGCAGCGGGCTGGGATGTGTAGAGGGGTGAGGAGGGAACGAAGGAGCGAGGGTGACATGTGGGCGCTTCATGGAGGAAATAGATACACACGTCTTGAGAATAGTCAACAGCATTTGAGTCGGTAAAATTGTCTTCCTTATATTTTCGAATTTGTGTTAACAAATGTGTTATTTTTCATTTCGTTAAGAGATATGGTAAATCTACACAAAAAATCATCCAGAGGCCGAATTTAAAGAATTTGAGCCGCATGGTCGGTTCCACTTAAAATTGTATTCAATTTTTCAAGATTTAAGCCGGCGCTCATATAAAACAGATTTTTGGGGGATTTGAGACGCGGCTTAAATTCATTAAACTCGGACACAATACTTCTTAAAAAAAGTAAACATTTGCCGTTGCGAACCTAACTCAAAATAATGGATAATCCTAGAAATAGAAGACTGGACACAATCTTCTCGACAAACAAGAAACCAAGTTTAAGAGAAATTTCCAGATGTTCCTTTGTTTGGGTGTCTGTCTGTTTGTTTGGATGTTTGATCAGTTGAGTGGGTTGTCTTTTTTTTGGAAAACTTTAACCTAAACTGTATTTCACCAGAAGCTCAGCTAGGGCTGGGCACGTTTTCAACTTTTATGAAATTGTTCTACTCCGTTATAGAACAAGGGCCTCCATCTAATTCGTTCCGTTCTCGTTCGTTCTTTTTCCAATCGTTCCATCCACGTTCTTTTCCATTCTTAGTGTTACTAGTCAAAGAACGGTCCATCCCGTTCCTTTCCATTCTTTGTGTTCTTTAGAGAACGGTTCATCCCAAGTGTTAATAAATTATTTTTGCAATTTTCTTAACTCTTAATACTGTAATGTAAGCTTCAAGGGGTGAACCATATAGATGGGAACATTTCTTTAAAAATGTCTATATTTTTATAGGATTTATTGCATAAATAATATCAAATTTATATTTACACTGAAGGCAGTATTAATTAAAGCTTTTTAATGAAAATTTTTAATTAAGACCAAAAGTTTTTTTTTCATATAATGTAATTATACTTAAATGGAATACATGCGTAATTTCAAGTGACCCTCCATTTATAGAGTGGCATGTCCGATGTACCTTTGAAACCTTAATTTCTCCATCGTTTCTGAAGCAATTGAAATGCATGAGTCACTTTTGTAGAGACACTACAAATGAAAATAATCAGTTTTCAAAATGGGAAACATGGAATATGGAAATGTAAATGTTAACAAATGTAGTTTATAGGAAGTGTAGCTGTATAGGAAATGTATAAGAGATGTAATTATATCAAATGTAATTATAGCATGTGTAATTATATGAAGCGTGACTAAATGAAATGTAACTCTGCCAACCAGAATAAATAGGAATGAAAGATTTTTTGCTAATGTAATTTTCAGAACTGTCATATCTCTGAAAACGTAAACTTTTGCATGCTTCCACATCGGTCGGAACTCTTGTAATTGTGGATATCGTGATTTAGCATTGATCTCAATTTCATTTTAATCTTTTTTCGATATCACGTGGTAATCGTCTAGGGACTAACTGAAATTAAAAGATCAAGCATATTGATCATAAGGGGATATCGAGATTAAGCTATAGGGATTATGAGAGTATCCCAGCTTAGGTTACTGTTAAACAATGGTACTATGGTTTACATAATCTTCAAAAATTTATTGGATCAAAAAACAAATATTTTTTCAAATTATTTATTTCAAAAACAAGCATCGACTATAATATTTGAGTATAAAAACAAATTAAATCAAATTAAATTTTATAAAAAATCCTGTCATCTCTTTGATATTATCTGATGAAGATAAAACTTATTTCCCCCTCACCTTGCATTGAATATTGAAAATACCACGCTTTTCTGCAAACTTCATGGTAAAAGCAGAAAACTCTCTTTTTATCATTAAAAAAACCGGGTTTTTTTCTTTTTAAACCAATGTAGTAAGTTTATACCCAACCAAAAAGATGTTAGAAGTAGGCTTTCTCCTCCCCCTTTCTTCTCCCTCTCCCCTTTCTTCTCCCCCTCCCCCTTTCTTCTAATATTTTGGTTTTATTGAGTAAAGTTGGATACAGGTGTAATATTTTGACATCCATTGGCTATTCTCACACTTCTAGAGAAAATAGCTAAATGCACATACAATACATTATATATATATATGTACATTGTATGTACAATGTATCTAGAAATATAAAAATGAATTAAACATAGAAAGTTAATTTTCTCACTGGCTTAAAATCCAATGTTGGTATAGTTGCAAACACTGCGCAATTTTATTAAAATAACATTTTAAAGAGTGGCTAAGGTGCAAAAAGAAAAAGGCAAGATAGTGAACATAATGACTAAAATTAGTGGTAACGTAGACAGAAAAAAGTTGTAATTTCAATACAAAATTAAGTTGTAAGTCAAGATGGAAATTAGTTGAAATGCTAAACAAGAAGTTAGTTGTGATTCAAGACTAAAATCAATTGTAATTTTAAGACTAAAAATAGTTTATTGGTTCTAAATTCAAGACTGAATTAAATATATATAAAAGGGCAAATAGAGTAGTTGAATCAAGAGAGAATTGAAAACAGTTCTTAGTAGGAAATGTGCACTTCACAGAAAGTTATCGATGCAAGGGTGCAAAATAAATGTTTCATTATATAAGGTATAAGTAGGTACAAAGAACTCCAGATACAAGACATGTTCCAAGATGTTTAAGTATGTACGTAGACACGGATCTTGTACATAAATCCTGAAATGCTTTATACATCCGTCTTTTTCATTATTTTCTAGGGAATTTAATATCGGACATCTTGTAAAACAAAGTCTTTGTCAAAATCAACTATAGGTCGAAAGATAGGAGGGAAAAAATTTAAACTAGGAAAAGGGAGGATTACAATACAATAATAATTTACAATCTAGCTGGCATTCACGGATATGATCATAAAGTACAAAAACTTACTAGTATTTATAATATGGAACAAATTAATTCGAATTTTACCTAACTTTTTACATCAATAAATGATAAATCTGGTCGAAAAGAGATCATTCTTTAATTTTAATAATTTATACAAGATATAAAAACCCTCCACCTCCCTCATGAATTCATCCTTTCATTTATTCATTCATTCTTTCTTTCACCTATTCATCCTTTTATTCACCTTTTCATCATTTCTTTCATTTATTCTCTAACCAGAATCTGATTCTCTAGCCAGAATCTGTTTTCAAATTAATATTCTGTTCACTGCAAAAGTCCTTAGTGATCGGTATACAGTTAAAGTATTTACAGATCTCACAATCTTGGATCGGGCTCACGTAGAACAAAAGAATCAGACCGATAAATATAAGAACTGCGAAGACGACACAGAGCCAGAGCAAGACGATTTTTCTCCGTCTGTCGTAGAGACCGAAGGTGACAAATGGTAGAATAGCGTAGGAGATGAGGAACCCGAAAATAAAACCGAAGAGGTGAGCGTAGTTGTCTACCCAGGGCAGGAGCCCGAGGAGGAAGAACACGGCTGTTACCCCGACCAGCTTCAAGATTGCCATCTCAGGATATTTCAGACTCGGCCATTGATGTATCACCTCTACTATACAGCAAGCTAGCAGCCCAAAGTGTGCCCCGGCCGGTCCGACTTCGGCACGGTTCGGAACAAAGATGGCGGAGGCTAGATTACCGACCATGCCGGAGCCGAGGTACACGATACAGATGCGCGTTGCACCGATCAGCTTCTCTAGGTCGCGCATCAGCCAGTACTGGAAGACCAGGGTGATGGATAAATGGAAAATCCTGAAACAAAAATAAAATTAAAATATTTGTCTAAGAATTGAATAATTGTACACATGAGCCCCACTAAACTGTGATAAAGGAAGACGACCGTTAGTTGGAATTTAATTGATCTTCAAGCTGCTTGTAAAACTGTTTGCTTTTTAACAATAGAAAATACACATAAGGTTGATGTACGGGAAATATTGTCGTCTTCACATTCCACAGTTTCAATATCTCACTGTAATTACAATGTACAAATGTAACAACATAAAATCAATCAATAGCCTTTTTTTTTCAAAAAAATTAGTTTTTTATCTGTCTGACAGGACATTGCATATAATCCTTCTGATTTTGCTGAGCATAAAATAAATCATATTATCCAGGAAGCTTTGATTCTAATTGTTACAGTTTAAAACGTACACACTACACACTATCAGATGATCAATCTCTTCTACATCCAAAGTTTTACATTCAATAAGTTAGATTGATTTTCGCCTTCAACGGAAGAATATTAGCAATATGCAATCGAGGACAGTAAACAATTGAATAGATTTGTTAAAAGTTTACAGTAGTTACTACATTCATATAATATTTCTCAGTGTGGGGGGGGGGAATGGTGAAATGTTGTAAATTTACACCAGCATTTTATAGAGAATTTTATTTATTGTTTTGGCAACCCTGAAACGGCGAGGGCGGAAGGGGGGGGAAATGTGATGCACTCTTTAAAATAAATTCTTAAAATTTGAATTATGAAGCAAGTTAAGAAGCCCATCAGCTCTAGCTAGTTTCGCCCCAAATTTTCCCCCAAATGTTCGCCTTAAAGTGATCAACGGTTAAAAAGAAAGTTTGAATCTTTGAATTAAGAAAGTTCTTTAATGTTAAAAAAATATCCTTTTGACAAAACTATCAAATTATTGTGTAACCAATTTTGCAATAATAAAGTTGTGAAAGGACAAATTTTGTTATGAAGTAGAAGTGTGTAAAAAGTGACAGGTTTCTTGATTAATGGATTTTTTACTGAAATGTCAACAGAACAGAAATGTATCAGAATCTTTTTAGAAATAAAAACATTTTACACAAAGCTTTCAGCTGATTGTAAGTAATTTAAAATAAGAACTTAGAGAAACGTTTCTAAAACACATAAATACTAATTATAAGTTTTAAAAAAGGTTTTTGTCTGAGCATTAACTTTTAATTAAAACTGAGGATTAACTTTGAATTAAAACTGCAAAAATTAAGAATTGCCGCAAAGTCACTTTGCATTTAATTAAATTGGGTTGACTACACAAATCACTGTTCCGAAATATATTATAAATCTGTTCAACAACTAAAAATAAAATAAAACTAACTAAAGAATGGCGTACAAGAAAGAGGCTACTATCATTACCCAGCATGAAGGAAGAGTGAAGTCCAGATTCTATAGAACTGATCAGGAATATCTCGTTGATTAAAAGGGATTAATCCACAAACATCGTCCATACAAGACACCTAAATAATACAGATTAAATTGACTGTTACTGTAATTTCAAGTCACCATTCATTTAAAGATCAACCATGCTTGATTTACAACGATCTGCTTAACATTTTTATCCGATCAATCATTTGGAAAATATTGATGTTTTTCTATTTTGAAAAATGTTTAATTTTGATAATTTAATCATTGCTTCTGAATAATGCGCCAGTCACATTTCACAAATGAACAATATCAATTTTGAAAATGTGGCGATGTTATCTAAATGCGTTCTAAGGGTACCATTGTTAATTGTACATGCCCCTCTATATAAAGTCCAGAATTTTCAAATCCATACTCTAAGAATTAAGCAAAAAATATAATTTGCTAATATATGGAGTCGTGATTTATTATTTCTTGATGTATACTTTGTCACGAAACATTTTCTATTTCAAATTTAGATTGGTAATATTCTTTCTTCAGTCAGGAAAAAAATCTTTATCAAAGAACATTTCTTTTTTATTTCATGAAAAGGTGGTAACTCTGTAAACTACAGCATGAGATTAATTCTAATTCTAATCAAAATATGGTTTAGAATAACTGTTGTTGAGTTTAGTTTGACAAATTGGAACTAATTACTTTTCTAATTCATATTTCTTGGCAACCTGATATTCTAGACATTTGATTTTACAAACTGTCAACTCTGCTAATTCATTTGGTCAAAATTTTCACCATTGGAATACAAAGATATTGAGATTTGACTTAAACTAAATAAAACTTAGTTTAATGTGGTTCAAATTTGACTTAAACTAAATAAAGTGCAGTGAATTGTGGTTCAAATTTGACTTAAACTAAAAAAATGCAGTGCTGTGGTTCAAATTTGACTCAAACTAAATAAAATGCAGTGTATTGTGGTTCAAATTTGACTTAAAACTAAATAAAATGCAGCGTTTTGTGGTTCAAATTTGACTTAAACTAAATAAAATTTTGTTTAATGTGGTTAAATTTTACTCAAACTAAATAAAATGTAGTGTATTGTTGTTCAAAGGAACTGAGTTTTTGCCACAAACTCAAAAAGTCTAATCCGTATATTTCTACTATCTAAAGATGTTAACCTTTGATATTTCAAACTATGATTATTTGATCTAACATAATATATAGTTTGAAATATCAAAGGTTCAAATTTGACTTAAACTGAATAGAATCCAGTGTATTGTGGTTCAAATTTGACTTAAAACTAAATAAAATGCAGTGTATTGTGGTTCAAATTTGGCTTATAATGAATAAAATGCAGTGTATTGTGGTTCAAATTTGACTTAAACTGAATAAAATGCAGTGTATTGTGGTACAAATTTGTCTTAAACTAAATAAAATGCAGTGTATTGTGGTTCAAATTTGACTTAAACTGAATAAAATTGTGGTTAGACTTTGGCAAAAAATAAAAAAAAATATTTTACTGTGGTCGAAATTTAACAGAAAACTTAATGAAATTAGTTTAATGTAATTGAATTTATCTGGAAGATCTAATTGATTTGTTTTAGTTCAATTATGATGAAAAATAACCTAGATTTTTCAAAAATGAATTTGATCTCTAAACTACAAAATTAATCGAAGAAAACGATTTATATCCGGTTGAGACTAATTCGGCCGGAAGAACATTAATCATTTCCTACTTCATTCTTCAATTTGGTTTCCTATCAACTACAAATACAATTCGATTTGTCTTTCAATCAAAACTTTTTAGTTGAGAAAAACCTTGGTCTAGAGGACTGGAGTATAAACAGACCAAGAAAACTTTTCACTTGTCATTTATAATTGAGCAATTTAATGTTTAAAGGAACTGTAGAGGAATTTCAAGTGACCTTACATTTATGGAATTGTATGTCCTCTCTACATCTACTTGACAGATCTCTAACAAGTGTTGAATTCTGTTTTTAAGCTAATATCTTACGGACAAATTAAACTGCTATAGATTACAGTCAGCTTTGTCTTCCGTGTTTGTCATCTTTTTTATTCCTGTTTAGTATGAAAGGTTGCCAAGGTTTTGTAAATGGTAACTGAAATATGTCTAACATGCGTCCTGAAATCAATTTTCAGCAACATTTCTTGATAAATATAAAGAAGGAAGACGATATTTATTTCAAATTGTTTTGTCTTTGTACCTGGGAGCAAAGAGCTGCTTCCTCGTGAAAGGTTCCCTTGACAAAATCACAGAATTCCCGTGTCGTAATCTGACATTGTCCCCGGATTCCCAGACAGCAAGGATGTCCAATCACCTCGCAAACCATGTGCTCAGCTTCTGATGGTGGCGCGTCCGCATGTTCTTTCCGTTTCCGGCAGATCGGCCATTTTGTTATATCATCAGGCCAAATGTACGGGGCAATGCTGGCAGGGGCTTCACAGAACCTAAACATCAAATTGTTTAAGCTTTTAACATCACAAATTGATTATGGTGGTTTATACAACAATAAAATAAGTTTTTTATTAGGATGTTTAATTATATTTTATGGTTTTAGTTTTTGTTTTTAAATTATTTGTTTTATTTATTTTAAATGCATGTGTTTACTCTGTATTGTTCTATGTTTTACACTGTAAAAATGTAACGAGAAAATATGGCAAAATAAGGCATTATAACTATGTTAGTATTTTAACATGTTAATTGTTTTTGTTGAATTTTAAGAAAGCACTGGAAAGAAATTACTTACGCTGGATCAAGTCCACAGACAGGTCCACTGGACCTATGATGGTCCGGATACTGGGACCATTTGTCATGATGAGACCCGTGTTCGTCCCAAGTTCTGTAGTCCCAGGGACTGTTCACTCCTACGGCTAACCTCTGAAATAAAAAATGAACAAATCAGAATTTTGATCAACAGAAAGTGATCTGCGATGTTTCTGCAATAGAAGTTTTTGTTAAGTCTATGAGGATGGAAAGGATAATTGCTGGTTAAATGTTTAAATATTTCGAAATGTTTGTCGATAGTGTACAAAAAGGTAATTTGGAAAATTCATTTCGTTTATTCATTTTTAAATGAAATTAAAATCTTTTTAAGCTGTGTCATGTTCATTTATAAAAAGAAATTAATATTTATTTTTATTTCCAAAACAGCCCATGATATTTTAAATTCTAAAGTTTAAGAGTTAAACTTCTTTTTGTTTTAATATTTTTCCCTTTCAAACCTTCCTGCCTCACTTTGATAATGTTTACAAGTGTTTACTGGTTCTCAACTAACTCAGATGTTAATAATGCCTGTTGTAAGTAAACCTTTCATTTATATCTTTGTAACCCGTAAATATACGTTCTTTAGTTCATTGACCCTAATTGCGGTCAACTTGTTTACCTGTACCTTTTTATAAATATACACTAGGCTTTTAGAGCGCTTTGCGCCCATCTTCTATTTCATCTTTTAATTGTGGCTTTATCTGTGAGCATCTTCTCTTTGTAACAGTATAAAACAAAAACAAAAAGTTTGCGGATTTCATGATATTTTTTCGCACATTTTCAAAATTTTCCAAAAATGGGAAACTTTTAAATACAAATTTTTACGTGAGGTCACGTGAGGTCCCATACAACATTTGGGCCTGATCGGTTCAGCCGTTTTGACGTTTATTGGATACAAACAAACAGACAAAGACAAAGACAGACAAGCTAAATCTATATATAGATAGACAAAGAAGGTTCTACATGCCTTATTCTTGAATTTCTCCAAGGATTGGCAAATGCATTTTTTACTTTTTACTCAGAAAGTTTTAAATTCTGAAAGTTTATGGAATGCATCGTGTTCTTTACAATTCTCAAAGGAACTGATAAAATATTCTCAAGCTTTGCAAAAAATTGATATTTGGCACGCCATAATTTTTCAGAAAATGTTTAAAATTTTTAGAAAATCTTAAAATCAGATTTTCCTGAAACATGTTTATAATGTTTTTGTAAATCATGAAATACGATTTCATTGTAATATGTCTCTTTTTCATTTCTGTTTTATTCTAAAACTGCAGAAGTTATCAACAAAGAGTGAGTTAAAGTTTTTAAAGATGCAAAAATTAAAATTTGTTCAAAATAAATTTTGTAGATTCTGACTTACTCCTGAGTTTTAGTTGAATGGAAACCATAGACAGTAAAATCTTATCTTTGTCTACAGTTCTCAAAACTGACAATAGAATAGAATAGAATAGAGTAGAGTAGATTAAAGTTTAACAATTCTATCTCTAGACTGAACAGTTTACAAGTTAGAGATAAATGCTTAATTAAATCTAAACAAATATGTATATATATTTTCTAAATATTGTATATAGGTTTTATCAAGAAATATATAGACCAGGAACCGCCATATCTCATGCGTCAAATCCGTGTACGGCAGTGGGAGGAAATCAAAACTAAGAATTCAGGGGCAACGCATCAATTTTGAGGGAAAAGGGCCCAAGGGGTGGAAAAAAATATATTGCTATTGAATTTTCCATAAAGCCAAAAATCATATGTATTCGATATATTAACTTGTTTTTGTTGGAATGTAATATCACAACAGAGCTTTAGTCCTTTTTCTTCAACTTCTGTGGGGGCACTGGGTTTGTTTACATTCCTCCCACAGAGTACGTACACAATTTGCGTATATCTGAGTTGGGCGTTCCTGTATATAGTTCCTTGGGTTTTATGCGTTTAATATATATATATTTATGTGTTTAATATTTATATATATTTATGACTGAAGATTGCATCTAGCCAGAAGCTCTTTATTTATTAATAAAATGTTAGAAGATATTTAAGTGTTTACTTCGAAGTCAAAAATAAACCCTAATTGCAAAAATGCGGAGCTCAGAAGGTGTAGTATATAGGTCTGCCGCTTTTGTAAATTGCCAGTACAGTCCAATCTAGAACAACAAAAGTAGACCCAGCACGGATTCAAAAGCCCGGTTCATAGATCGAGCTGTAGCTATGACTTGACAGCTGAGCTGTAGCTATAAACCGGTTGTGAGTGTAGTTACAAGCTTGCGACGTTGCAGCTTTTCCTCCAAATGTACGCCAAAATGGTTTTCTGAACGATCAGACTTAGGTTTTTATTCTTCTTCGATATCCAGTCACTCTAGGATGCCGAGTCCCTTAGCATCTGATCCAATCAGGGTTCAGCCATGGAGTTTGGTGTCTATTCTGAACCAATACAAATTGCATATCGGTAACATCTATCTTTCTATCTAGCTCAATATCCAATTAGAGATAAATCCTTATATCGGCGCTATAACAGTAAATGGAAATATTTACTTCTACTGAAACTATAGTACAATGATGGTTATACTATATATGTTAATTTTAATTGATGGATCAGGCATGTAGCTTCAAAGTTAAAAGTGTAAACATTGGAAATCGATCAAAATTAAAAATATCCACATACAAATCCCTATCTTAGAACAACTTAGTTTATGGTTGCACGCTCCTTTGACTCTTTAGTAAAAGTAAATTCAAGCTAATGTCTGACTGCGTCAACCTTGTTTCACCGGCTAGCACTATTGAGTGTCTGCTTTATTTACCCAATGTCCGGGCGATACAGTACAAACTGGGACTGGAAAGTTTGACCCAGCTCGGAAATTCAAGTGTACTGCGGTTGCCCGTGCAACGTAAATGTGTTCTTGTTCACAAGAAATTAAGATTCTTTTGTATTTGTTTCTTACCAAACAATACTTCTGTTTCATATCATTGTGCAAAGTACAAAATTAACTGTTTGTTCTTTTCCGTCTGTATTTGTACAGTCAATATCAAAAGTACAAATTTAACATGAACAATTTATTTGAAAAAATTTGAATGTTTCAAGATCCTTTAAAATAAGATTGCTTCTTCAAATTAGAGATGATAAGTTGTAACTATCATTTGCAATGCCTTTTCAAAAAAATGTTAAAAATAACGATTTGCCTGTATTTTTTTTTACATAACTCAAAAAGTATTGGTCTGAGGCTGTTGAAATTTTCTGACTTTTCTTACAAACCCAAAGCCCTCCCTTTAGGCCTAAAACCGGGCTTTAATACTAACTGCCTGAATCCTCAGGCACACTGCCTGAATGACTGCGTTTGCCTGTAACAAACTAAATCTTTGTTTTGACCCACTTTCACTTGTCAGATTTTGATGAAATTTAGCTTTTTGGAAAGCCTATGACATAAGGAAACGGATTGCACAAGTTTTGCGAAAAAAATTGCAAATTTTTTGCAAACAACCTGTCAAATGAAATTTGCACATTTTTAGTTTTTCTTGATTAAAAATTAGGTTATTTAAAATTTTGCAAAAAGTTTTGCATATTTGTAAAAGCATGATCAAGGGCTTTTCAAAAATGTATAATTTTTCATTTTTTGGACAAATTTTTTTTTGCAAACATTTTTACTATATAACTGGATTTTGCGATAAAAAATTCAATTTTTGAAAATTTGCAAAATTTTTTTGCGGATTCTAAAAGTAGAGCACAAGAGCTTTCTAATGATGTATCATTTGTCATATTTGAACATAAAACATGGGATTTAGAGGGGGGGGGGGTCAAATAGACCCCCCCCCAGCATATCCTGGTTTTCAAGTACCCCAGCAGGGATAGGGTTAACACTGAAATTATTACAAAGCATTTATTTCCAAATGGACTGCGCAGTGTGCAGTGTGCTAGTATATTTTCTCATTTTTTTAGTATAAAAACCGCAACTTGATTAATTAGTGTCATTCCTTTTTGATTTATGTCTTACCCATTTATGTTTTGCTACAGCTGGTACAGCAGCCACTCCTCCACTTGCAGCTTTACATTCAGATTTCTGAGTCTGTACACAGCCTGCCTGGTCTTCACGTAAACAACACGCTGTATCCCTCTCCTGTACAGTACATAATATATCAGCACGTTGTATCCCTCTCCTGTACAGTACATAATATATCAGCATGTTGTATCCCTCTCCTGTACAGTACATAATATATCAGCACGTTGTATCCCTCTCCTGTACAGTACATAATATATCAGCATGTTGTATCCCTCTCCTGTACAGTACATAATATATCAGCATGTTGTATCCCTCTCCTGTACAGTACATAATATATCAGCA